TATTTAGCCAGCCTGGGAAGAAAAATCCACTAGACTCCAATTTCTAATATAACCAGCAAAGTCAGGCTGGAGATATGGCTCAAGTGGCAGGGTCCCAGTCTAGTGAAAAACTGTGGATCTCTGAATTCAAACTCCAGCACTGGAAAAAATGAATGAATGAATAGATAGATAAATATTGTGGAAGTAACAAAGTGTAATTTCTCTGGTTAGGTGATGAGAAAGACAGTCGTCTCCACATTGCTCATTTGTTAATAACTTGCTCTAAGGTACTATCCACCATTCGGTCAATGTAATCTCCAACCTTGAGGAGAAGTCTATGAGGGGAGGAATGGAATTCCTTTGTTAACAGCCAGTAACAACCTGCCAGAGGAGTGACAGATGCACAGACACATCCTGAGATGACTCCAGACCCAACCAAAATATTCCAGAGAGGGAGAGAGAGACAGACAGACAGACAGAGATAGAGACAGAGACAGAGACAAAGAGAAGAGAAAGAGAGACAGCAGAGTGTATTGTTGCACAGATAAGTTGGGTGGAGAAATGATCAGTGACTATACCCACATATTCAATGTGTCTAATACAATTGTATTAGCCAACATATCTGTACCAATAAATTTAGTAAGCATTTATTTGAGATTATTAGCATGAACAAAGACCTTAGATATAATTATAATTGCTAACTTTGAGAAGGCATTCTGAAATGTCTTTTAGAGTTCACTATTCATAGCACATGCTGGAATTTAGGTCATATACACGAAAGCTGTATGAAATTTGCCTAGGAAGTTGAGAAAGTTTTCACAGATGTGACATTTGAAATCATTCTTAAAGGTAAATAATGATAATGTAGAGCAAAATGAAAAGCAGACAGAAAAAACAAAAAGGCTCATAAATTACTGAAAAACATAGCCTGATTCCTCCATGCTTCAGTTGTGACTGAAACTATGATGGTCACTTTTCATAGAATTAATGTGAGAACATCACAATTAGACTCTGTGTGTGTGTGTGTGTGTGTGTGTGTGAGAGAGAGAGAGAGAGAGAGAGAGAGAGTATGTACATGAAGGCATGTGCATTTTTCATTAAACTCATGGGGAAACTAATACCTTCATTATCTTTAATATCAAATTAAGGCACTCTGTAGAGTATTATTATTATTAGTATATAATTAATAATTATTTATTATCTGGGTAGGTTAATTAATGCATGCTTTAGTTAAGAGATTTTAAATGTACCCTGCTAAAATGAATGGTAATCAAGGAACAGAAAATTCCAAAAGAAGTAACACATAAAGATAATATTATCAAATGTCAAAAAGGAGGATAAGAAATGAAGAGTGCTGAATAAATTTGGTCCTTAGACACTCACTCTATAGCTGTTATTAGTGTGTAAAGATCAACAGAGATTACAACAGACATATTTGGAATTTCATCAGATGAAAAGTGAGTCATTGAGTCATATCTTGTATGTTTCAAGGAAAGTGTACTATTTCCTAGAAAGAATAACCCCCTCCCTAACTCTTGTAAGCTATTGTGGGGGATGGCTGGCAGAATTCTAAACATAACAGCAGAGGAACCAAGTCTCTTAGTTATTCCGTTAAATGATGATCTAGGTTGCAGTGAAAAGATTTGGAAGAGAAAATTAAAGTTCTAAGTCACCCAGGTGATCTGAAAATATGCAGGTTATTATGGTATGCTTAATGCAATCAAGTAAACCCATTGAAGGAGAGACTTTTCCAGTGTGTGGAAAACCAAAGTTGAAACCAGAGAGATTTATCTTGAGTAGGACTGATGCTGGTTGCAGAAGATTAAGGCCAATGGAAAGAATGTGTTCTGAGTAGATTACAATCTTTATTTTTTATTGTGAGAATAAACTAGAGATAGAGGTGGACCCATTGCAACAATGAGACTAAAATCTTAAACCACCAACACTTGGCTTTAAAATATACTTTCAAATACGGTAAGTGTATTTCCAAAACAGAAAATTATTTTGATAATGTGGCTGATGTTGAAGTTAACAATGACAAATTTAGATGTGTGTAAGCAACAAAAATAGGAAAATACCCAATCATATTAACAGACACATGGCCAAACAATTAGTGTAGGCAAGGGTACTTTTCTACAAGCAATCTCTTTGCATGGGTACAATATCTTAACCATGGCTTATTCTTTCTGTACACCTGTTTATGATTAGGATTAAATTATATTTCACTAATGCCCAATGAGGGAGTTTCCTAGGCTTCTTTATTACCACCTATAAAACTGAGGAAATTACACTTTACTGTATACTTTTACTTAGTAATAATACATTAACTGAATTCTCTCAGAAGCACTAGCAAATAGTAAATAGACTCATAAATATATGATTAGGATATTACTTTACTAAAAACAGATATTTCCTTTGATAACAATTGGAGTTTTTTCTGATATTCATGAACTCATGTATATTTATAAGATTGTTTCCACTTGCTACAACTCTGTTTTAGAATTGGGTACTGAGTAAGAACTAACATATAATTTTTATTTGAATACTGATCTCCTGAAAAATCATTCACGTTCCAATAGCTTTTTCTGATAATTTTGCTTCTTCACACTTCAATTTATAGTAATGTTAGAATTGAATACTTATTTGGATAGTCTTGGATCATGAAGGAAACATTTTGGACATGCATTCAGATGAGTTGGGGAGGGTGGTGGTACTGGCGTTTGAACTCAAGGCCTAGCAGTTGCTAGGAAGTTGTTCTATAGCTTGAAGCAAGTCTCTAGGAGATTTTGCTGTAGTTATTTTTTCAGTAGGATCTCACATTTTTGCTGGCAGGCCTGTCCCTTGGCATTCTTATTTCTGCCTCTTGTATAGCTCAAATATCAGTTATGCACAGTTGTGTCCAGCTTGCTGTTTAAACCATGGGCCTCCATCAGCAACCCTCCTTACCTCTGCTTCTAAGGTAATGTTGAGTGCAGGCCTGAGCCACAATGCCTGGCCTCATGTGATGACTTTGAAGATTAATATGGCCCAGAATGGCAACAAATGTATCCTTTATTCATCCATTAAAATTATTGAATGGCCCCACACTGATGGCTCACACCTGTAATCCTATCTCAGGAGGCTGAGATCTAAGGATCGTGGTTCAAAGCCAGGCCGAGAAGGAAAGTCTTTGAGATTCTTATTTCCAATGAATGACCAGAAAACTGGAAGTGGCACTGTGGCTCAAGTGGAAGCGCGCTTGCATTGAGCTAAAGAGCTGAGGGACAGCACCCAGGCTCAAAGGTCAAGCCTCACAACCAACAGAAAACAAACAACAACAACAACAAAATAATTAATGAATGTTTGTTTTCTATAATATGGTTAAAAAAAATAAGCTAAACAATAGCCACCTGAGATGATTATGCACACACAAAATAATTCAGTGAAAAATAATTGTAGCACAAATAAGATAAGCAGCTTGAATTATAACAAGGAGACTGAAGTGTATAAGTACATAAACCTCAATGAGGTATCTATCACTTCTTCCACACAATACTGGAATTTTAAGTCACATGACAAAAAGTGTTGGCTGAAACAATTTGTATCTCATTATGAAATGGAATTACCTCACTGGAAACAGAAAAGCCTGGCATAACAACAGAGAAATAAAATTGGTAGACCCATTCCATAGAATAGTTTTCAGTAATAGAATTGGATGAAATATTTATGATACTAATTATGATATTGAAAAATTATGATATTGAAAAATTATGATAGTGAAAACATTATACAAAATAAAATAGACTAATCTCAAAGTGCTGCATATTATAAACCTTATAACAAGCAGCAACAATAGACACGTCTGTAGATATGTAATAATACAAATTGCTTCCTAAACCAGAGACACTTGGAAAATTTCATCTAAGGGAAGCAGAATTGCTTAATAGAGAAATAAAACCATATTACATTCTAGTTTTAGAGGCACAATTCTCTGGATTTCAATGAATGATATACATCTAAAAGATGAATTATATACTATAAACATATTTGAACAAATATGTTAATATGTTTTAATGTCTTCATTTTTAAATGTTGACATTTTAATTTTCCTTTAGGGGAAAAAGGAAAAATATTCATTTTATACAGTATTATTTTTGAGTATAAACTATGCCAGATATAATATATTTTTGTTTCTGCTAAGAGACATAAATATACTATTGAAATATTCTTAAATATTTATGTAATTTTGTCAGATAAATCTAAACTGGTGGTAATTACACTTCATTATTGTCATAATACTCAATCAATCACTAATTTTATTTTTAACACAATCACACCCACCTTATGAATCTGTAGATTATTACTGGTATTTATGCTCATATTTTCCCTGAATTTTCAGGGTATTCATTGTAATACAAAATATTCATGCTGGACATCAGCTTAAAGGTCATCTTGAGTTTTGTATTATATATTTCTTCAAGCTAGCTTAACTCTACTATTGAAATTCCATGAATTTTCCTTTTACTCATCTTTTGTTTTCAAAACTGTTCCATATGAGTATCCTTCATGTAGTAAATAAAGTGTAATCTCATGGAAACTAAAGTCTCTTGGGATATAGCCCAGTGGCAAAGTGCTTGCCTGGCAGGTGCAATATCTTGAGTTCAGTTCCCAGAACCCAAAAAAGGAAAAGATCCAAAACAAAAGGGAACAAAAACTAAATAATACAGTTAAAACAAAGAAACAGACTCCTCTCCCCACACCCCCAACTGAAGGCCTCCCAACAAGACAGAGAATCAAACACTCAAGGATGAGGACTAAAATCTGTGTGATGTCAATTTCCTACCACTAGACTGGAATTAAAGTGGAGAAAAAGGTTTGAGTCTATTTCCTGTATCTGGCAAAGAGGAGATGTGTCTGACATGTTTTGTATATTCTGCTAGTTTCTGCCAGCACAAACAAAAATAATTGGAACTCTTCTGTCTGGGACATCTCTATACAAAAACTTCATGTGCCAGTGACATTTTGCTTATGATAAAACTTACCATTTTCTGAAGCAGAAACTGTGATATTGTACCAAGGAGTTTCTTCTCTGTCCAGAACCTTTGTAGTCTTAATTGTTCCAGTATTGGCATCGATGTTGAAAAATCTGTCCTCTTCTGCATTGTAGTCAATGAAGTATCTAGAGGAACAAATATAAAACTTCAATAGCAAGAAAGAAAAAAACATTTGAGTCTTTATCTTTGGGTTCATTTCGCCTAACATCAACTTGTCTGACCGTTTCTACTTGTCCCAGACATATACTAGTTGTTGCAATTAAGGGAAACCATGGGACCTATGTTTCTTTGGGCCTGGCTTACTACACTTAATATAATTTTTTCCAAGTCTTTCCAGTTCCTAAGAAATGGGGAAATGTCATTCTTTCTGATGGAGGCATAGAATTCCATTGCGTATATATACCACATTTTCTTGATCCATTCATCTACAGAGGGGCATCTGGGTTGGTTACCTATCTTAGCTATAGTAAATAATGCTGCAATAAATGTAGCTGTGCTGGTAGCTTTAGTACGGTCTTGTTTGTGATCATTTGGGTAAATGCCCAAAAGTGGGATTGCTGGGTCATAGGGGAGCTCTATGTGGAGTCTTTTGAGGAACCTCCATACTACTTTTCAAAGTGATTGAACAAGTTTACACTCCCACCAATAATGCAGTAGGGTTCCCTTCTGTCCACATCCCCTCCAGCATCTGTTGTTATTAGAGTTCTTGATTTTAGCCATTCTAAGTGGGGTGAGATGGTATCTCAGTGTTGTTTTGATTTGCATTTCTTTTATGGCTAGGGAGGTTGAGCATTTATTCATGTGTCTATTGGCCATCCTTCTTTCCTCTTCAGAGAAGTTTCTCTGTAAGTCTTTAGCCCACTTATTGGGCAAGTGTTTCTTTGAGGATTTGTTGTTGGGATTTTATTTTTTGAGTTCCAGGTATATTTTAGGTATGAGACCCTTGTCCGTTGTATGGCTAGTGAAGATCTCCCAATTTGTGGGCTTGCTATTGATCTGGCTAGCTATGTCCTTTGCCAAGCAGAAGCTCTGCAACTTCATGCAATCCCATTTGTCCAACCTTTCTTTGATTTGTTGTGTTTCTGGGTCTCTGTTAAGAAAATTTCAGCCTGTGCCAAGGAGACCTCGGGTTTCTCCTATTCCATCCTGTAATGTTATTGACTCCAAGGTCTTTGATCCATTTGGAGTTGATTCTTGTGCAGGGTGATATATAAGGATCTACCTTAGTTTTCTACAAGTGAATAACCAATTTTGCCATATTTGTAAGATGATTTTTTTGTTGGTTTGTATATCCCACCCCCACGGTATAACCCTTGTTTTGACGGTATTTGATGTTGGTATAATTTGTGGAGGGGAAGGGAAAAAATAATTGTTTAAATAAGCGTACAGATGGACCCATTGCAATAATGTGATATACAAAACCTTATGTCACATTGGGGGGTGGTGGGAGGCAGGGATGGTAAGAGGAATGGTAAGGGGAAACAAAAGAGGAGGCAACAATGCTTGATAAGAAATGTACTCATTACCTTGCCCATGTAATTGTAACCCCTCTGTATGGTATTTTCACACACACACACAAAAAACTTAATAATAAAAAAAAACTAAAAAAAACTTCACAGTGAATGTCATGATGTAGAAAATAGGAGTGAATAAAGAGACATATTTAATGAAATATATTTATTTCATAAATGTATTTAACTGTATTTTAAATTTCTCTGTTTCATTAGAGATTTGCACACCAACTTTACAATTTTGTGGAACGTTTTATCTATGGTTCCTGTAATAATGCTTAATTAACTTACAAATTTTAAGAAATAAATGTCTTACAAAATCTACAAATAAAAGTAGACAGTATCAACAATGTGCAATGAGAGTAAGATAGGAAATAAGATAGTGAAACTCAGATATCAGAGATCAATTTGCCTTGGAGTTTCATCATAGTAGAGATGTGAAGATAACTCTACACTTAGCACAACATCTAGACCTATTATATCTTCCTCATAGCCTCTGGTAGGGCTGCCTCATGAAGGGGAAACTGAAAGAATGCATCCCTGTGTGTAGCAGAATTGGCAAGTAATGGTTGGACTCACTCTAAGATCTGCATAGGGCAATTGTGAACTAATTTAAAAAACATTCAGTCTGGGGGTTATTCTTCATTTAATATGGATAATTAAGATGCCGATGAGTGAATAATATTATTAGAAATAACTATGATAAAAATAGATCCAGATTTTTTTCCCAAGGACTGTTTAAGGAGGAAGCTTATCACTTTTTCTTAAAACTTGTAGTACCTCTTCCATCTTTTTCAGTCTTTTCTACAGTAACATTTCATCTAGATCTGAAAGTTTAAAAACTAAACTGATTATGAGAACAGTGATAGAGTGGTATTTGAATTAGAGGAAATCAAAGCCAAAACTTTAAGTTAAAAGTCTGAGTTGATTAGTAAAATGCCGAGGCAAGTCAGTGTGTCTGCAGGACGAATGAGCCAAGCTAGGAGTTAGGGCAAACAGGCCTTGGGACAACAGAAGTTCCACTCTTTGGTGTAAGCAATGGGATAGCTTTATGTAAAAGAAATAATGAATTAACTTAGTCTCTGAAAGTATCACAGAGTATTTTGAATCTTGGATGGCAGAGAATGAAAAATAATTCAGAAAAGAAATGAAGTCAATAAAGTCAACTGAAGGTGAACAAACATAAGAAAATGAGGGGAAAATACACAAAATAAGTTATGTTAGATCCAAACTATATGTTTTTGTGTCTTTAGTGTCTTCAGTAAAGAGGAAAACTTACAAATGCCTCATTTATGTTTGTGTATGTATGCAATCCTGCATACATAAGCTAATTTGCTGAGATGCAAAATAGAGTTAAGGAAAAATCAAGTGTTAAGGGAAAACAGATGAGAAATCTATTTCTTTGACATACGATGGCTGAGCAAACTCAGAATAACCTTGAAGTTATATGTGAATACAAGGAATATATATGTCAATACAAGGAAAATGTTAGGACAAAAGGAGGAGCAGCATAAGAGTGCTGGTAAACAGGAAAGTAATGTGACAAGGAACCCAAAATAACTGCAGTAACAATCACAGGAAAAAATGATTTTTCCTGGAAAAAAGAAAATAATAAAGTAAAATAATAAGTCTTGTATAGATTCGGCCAGATGAACATTACAGAATAACCTGACAATAAGGTATCTAAGTATTGGCTTTTTATTACTATGTGCTTATGAGCATACTGAATGTGTAAGTATAAAATATATGAGACATGCTAATTTCTTGTTACAATTTCCTATAAAGAGCTGAGTTTTGGCACTTCTTTTCTAGTAGCAAAAATACAAAGCAATGTTTTTATTGAAACGAATGATTTATTTTGAAAGAAGAAAATTCATAAATAGGTAAAAATGTTAGGATTTCAGAGTGCAAATATAGGAATTATCCATTGAGATAATGAGTCTTTTTATCATTTGAACATGAGAAATATGAAAATTTTGGATAAAATGCAATAGAAGAAATTGTGGTAATGGAAATGTTACAAAATTCATATTTCACAATGTAACTTGTGCATGAGTAGGACATCCAAGTATACTGAAGTTGAGAAGCAAATTACTTTGTACATGTAATATCTTACCACAGTGCAATGTGGTTTTGAAAATGGTAATTAGCTTCTTGTTCTATTTTATCATTTAAAGTTAGCTGACGTCATGCTATTTATCAGAAACTTTGTTTTTAGTTATTTGTCCACATCTGAATACTGGAGAAACATAATCAACCTGAAAGGTCTAGACAATAACTATCAAGAAAACCTAGAATAAATCGCTGTCAAAGTATTCCTGTGAAATATGGTAGATTACATGTGTTTTTGAAGAACTCAGTCACTTCAGAAATCTTCTAGAGAAAATGAGTTTTTTTTCTTTTTTTTATTATTTATCTAACTGCTACATATGAAAAGTTTTTGGCCAAGCAGTTGCTTGTCTGTAGTAGTTTCACATTGTGCTTTGTCCCCCTTAACATTAATTATTTGTAGTTTAATAACCTTTTTTATGTGTCTTATGAAAAATTAAACCTATGCTTTCCTAATAGACTAGTAAGCAGGATGGTAGGCATATACTCATAGACTTACATGATTTATTTCTTACTTTTTATGTGATCCAGTTCTCCTGGGAAATCAACATAGAAAGACTAAATACTGTGAGATGTTTGGCCCACAAAGGACTCTTCACACAGCTGCAATTGAATTTTGACTCAAGTAGAACTAAGTAGTTCTGCTTAACTACCCTTGGATTTCTGCCCAGTCATGGGGATACTAATTCAAGAAAAGGATAAAAATCAATGTGAGAGAAAAGGAACAATTCAAAGTTATTTTTAAGAAGAAGATACACAATTAATTCTAATTTTTAGAATTAAGAATGACATTTACCATAAAACTGCTTACCAAACATATAATTTAAAAAAAAATGAGAACTGGGAATACAGCCCAATTATAGGGCATAGGCCTAGCATCTATAAAACTCTAAAACAAATCACTAGTAAGTAAACAAATGAATTGTCAGTAGGATTTTTTGTCAAATCGTTTTCAAAACAAAACTCATTTGATTCATATGCTCTCCTAAAGTAAACACATATTAATTCTTCATGAAATTATATATCTGTATGTAGGCATAATCTAGGCACAATTTGCCTGGTGAAGTAGGTCCTAAATTGAGATTAATGTTAAAATGTTTAGAGTTTTGAGATATTTTTGTTGTTGTTCTAGGATAACCTGGACCGTGATCCTCTTATTTATGCCTCTGACATAGCTGTAATGATAGTTTAAAAGCACCTCATCCAATTTATTGGTTAAAATAAGATTTGGCTAATTAACTGCTCTGGTGGGCTTTGAATCATGATCCTCTTAATCTCTACCTCTTCAATAGCGAGGATTATGGGTATGAGCAAATCTACCCAAAATACAATAATTCTCCATTCAGATTAATATTAGCATGTTTGAAATTAGTTAAACTAATCCAGGAAATGCTTTTTTTTCTTTATAGTGTATAGTGTACTTATTTTATCTCTCCCTGAGAAATGCCTAACTATCAGAGGGCAGAAAAAACACTGTGTCTTTATCTACTGAATATTATAGGCACAATTCACACTGTACTCACTATGTACAAAGTTGCTACTATAGTTTGGGCTATAATTTCATACAACTTCCTTCTTTACTACATACAATCTCTACACCATTTCATATTTCTAGTAAATATATTTCAAAAATAAGCCAAATGGAAAGAACTGTGTTATATTAAAAATAAGATGAAAATACGTTATCCAAATTGGCATTTCACAGCCCAACAAGCTAGACAAGCTGTAACTTCAAACAACAGTCAATGTCAATAAAGTGTACTTCGTATTCAAGTAGTTTCTTCAATAGAAGCTACTTTAAACCAGTTACCCAGTTCAACATTTGGAATATATTTTTCTTTGATTATGTAGGCACAGACTGAATGTAATTAGTAGTCATAGTCAAGAGCATTGGAAAAGATACTTTTCATTTTGATAACAAAGTTTCAGTCCTCATGGGCACTTAACAAAAAGTCATGAATCTGTAATATAGTTCATATGCATTTAAAAATGTCTTTCCTTTCATGTTGTTTTAAAGTTATTACTTAAAGAAAACCTTTATAGGCTAAATAGTTTATTGTACTGATAAATTCAGATTATAAATAACTTATGGACAAAAGCAATAATGAGCAATACAGATTTGTGTAAATTCAGTTACCAGCTCTCTGAATTAGGTGAGAAATATGACTCTGAGCTGTAGCAATTTGTTCTCATACTAAATCATGTGCTAAATATTTCCAGCTGTAGCATGTGGAGAAGCTCTAAGGATAAGAATATCTTATTTCTGAGTACCTACATGTACATGCATCATTCTGCAAACTAAGTGAAAATAGAGAATTTTTGAAGCTTTAGCTTCACTGGCTGGCAAAGCATGGTGTTTTATGGATTGACAAAGGTTTGTAGATCAGTGTAAATCCCTACCAAAGACAAGCAATGGGCAGCCACATTATTCAAAGATCATGTGAGAAACACACATTTCTTTGTGAAATCTCCTCTCCCAAGTTGGATTGCTCAGCTTTCAGAAGTTAATATGTGTGATCCCTAAATTCCATGGGTAATATGCTAGCAAATAAAATGTGGACAAGAGAAGTCAGATTTCTCCACTGCTAATAAATAACTAGGCTCTAATTTTATGATTTGTTTTCTTTAGAGAAAAAAAAGGAGTGATGGTCACATTACTGCAAAATGCACATTATTTTGAGTACAAAAAGACAAAAAGTACACAGTGTGCTACAAAAATCTGAAGAATCTGACTAATAGAAAATTGACATACCAAAGGCTAAACTCAAGATTTTTTTTTTCAAAATGCATGAACGATTCATAGTACTTTTCATTGCCAGTCTCCAAATGTGGAGTTAATTGCATTTCAGGCCACATGGAGGGATACATGTTTTCAAGGTCCTTTCCCTTAATTACTACAAACCCTTGGTCCCTGAGAAAGGTGGATTCAGGAGGCTGGCTCCTGTGTTTATCATTCTTTTTCGTTTGGTATTCAACATTTGCACCTAGAGGCCCAGGTGAATGACACATTTATATTAAAATAAAGAGTAAATATTATGTAAATGATGCCCCAAAGAGTAACTATGGAGTATCTAATTATTTCAAGGCAACTGCAGCAGGATTCATTTAGTTCTCTACTAAAACAAAGCAGAAAGAATAAATCATATGCTACTAGAAGAACACTCCCTTCCGTTATGTTTGATGACAAGGTATCAATCACCTCTCTAATCTACCGACTGGGATAATGTATATATCCGAATGAATCCTCAATTTTCTATTTTCTTAATACTATGACCAAAGCCAATATGATTAACATAAAAAATAATTTTAATGGCTGGATGCTGGTGGCTCACACCAGCTACTCAGGAGGCTGAGATCTAAGGATCTCATTTCAAAGTCAGCCCAACCGCAAGACTCTTATCTCCAATAAACCACTCAGAAAACCAGATTGGCATTGTGGCTCAAGTGGTAAAGTGTTATCCTTGAGCTGAAAAACTCAGGGACAGTGTCCAGACCCAGATTTTAAGCCCCATGACCACACACACACACATACACACACACACACACACACACACACACACACACACACACACACACACACAAATAATAATTCCAATTTATCAACAAATTCAGATTATATTAATATTTCCTCATGTATTAGGAATATGTGAATCATCAGGCTTCATTGAATGACTTTCAGCTAGTTATAATGATATTGGAATTCATATATTAGTTCTAGACTCCAGCCCTTAAGCTCACAATCCGTACTTCCTTAGGTGTGTTAGCATTTGTAAAGGGACTACTAAGTGTAGGCTGCTGCAAATTTTTTTTGTGCTTATTGATACATGCACTCTCATAATAACTCTAATGTAGCCCTGCGATTTAAATCCAACCTTCCTTCCTTCCTTCCTTCCTTCCTTCCTTCCTTGCTTCCTTCCTTCTCTCTTTCTTTTTCTTCCTTCCTTTTTTCTTTTCTTTTCTTTCTTCCTTTCCTTTCTTTTCTTTTCTTTTCTTTTTTTTTATTTTTTTGGTGGTCCTGGTGCTTGAATTCAAGGCATTGGCACTGAGTAGACTAAAACTTAATTCCCGTTTGAAATGTCTTCTAAAGGTGGTCCTCAGATCTCAGATTGCTGAGTAGGTAGGATTACAGGCATGAGCCACTGGTATCTGTTATTTTTTATTTTGTATAGATAAGGATTAGTGCTGAACTAACTTAAAGCTAGTGCCACCGGATTAGCCAGAAGACAATTTTTTTTTTATTGTGAAAATACTGTAGGAGGGGTTACAATTACATGGGCAAGATAGTGAGTACAATTCTTATCAAGCATTGTAGCCTCCTCCTTTGTTCACCCTTCCCATCCCTTCCCAGCCTCCCCCTGCCCCCCCACGTAATCCCCCCCCCACACACCAAAGTTGTAAAGTTCGTTTTCAACATGACAACTTATACTTCTCATTGTTGCAACGGGCCAGAAGACAATTATTGATGATACTATTATCCAGATTTTATGTTCTTATCACCAAATTACCAAGAACCTTTCTAGATTATGTTTTTCTAAAACAATTTTTTCGGATGATCATGTTCTGCCATCCATTAACTCAAGTGCAAAGGTAATGGACAAGACTTACACATATTATTAGTCTGACAAATTTTATCTGCTAAGTTACTCAGATAAAATAGGAACTAAGATAGGTATGATGACAGAACATGTAAATCCCAGTTACATGGGAGGCATAGGTACAATAACCTCAATCCAAGGCTAGCCCAATCCAAGAGATGAAACCCCCTCTGAGAAATGACTAAAACCAAAAAGGGACAGGGTCAGGGGGAAGCGGCAGCGGCCAGCCTGAAAAGTGAAAAGCCTTAAATTAAAATCGCAGGACATCCCAAAGCCCCGCTTAGTTAATATTATAATTTAAGAAGGATGGAGAAGAACATGGGCATGAAATGTTTAACGCCATTTACTTCACATTAAAGACATGTATGTGCCACACAACATACATTTGGTATTGCTGCACTCCGGCGTACCATACCTTACTACACGATTAGCACTGTCAGGATCTTGTGCCAAAACCGTGCCCACAGTGGTTCCGACCTTGGCATTTTCGTTGACCTCCATGACATAAGAAGGCATGGAAAAGAGCGGTGGTTCGTCCACATCGCCAACTATGATCTTCAGCATCGTGGCGTCTTTAAAAGGACCCAAGTGAGAAAAGCGGAAGTCGAGGTGTGTGTTCGCTCCTTCGATGTTCAGGGTGTAGGACTTCTTTTTCTCATAGTTGAGGGGCTGAAGGGAGAAAGAAGATTGCCAATATTAAGACTTGCACGTTTTTCCAATGAGCATTGCTATTTATCTGATTAGCAGCAATGACTTTGTAGAGTTAAGCCATTCAGCTGTTGGGCCAAAGTAGATTTTTTTCCAAATAATAGCACCTAAATGAGATATTTAAGGCGGAATCCACCGTGGTTTACCTAGCTCTAATTATGGTGACAAGCAAAAACGATTTTTCTACTGGAAAAGAAAACTTGAAGTTTTGGAGACTCTTACTGATGTCTTATGCTTACTCAACTATACTAACTTACATGGTTAGTCTTTAAAATACTTGCTATATATATATATATATATATATATGTATACAAAGATATATATATATCAAGATGTATATATCAAGATATATACATATATATCAAGATTTTAATAATGATGTAAAACTTTTAATGTTTTAGTAACTCATCTACAGCTTTAACTTTAAAAGAAAAAAGTGTATTTATTTTCAATGACATGATTATTGCCCATGTGTTTGGAGGCCATTAATATTTGAATTCTGTGTACACTGTATATGAGTCAATGGAAGATATGTGAGGTCTATCTATTTGAATATTTCACATTTGCACTTCATGAGAACACTCAAATTACTTGTGTCTACTTATATTTCTTATATAATATAATAATTATAATCACTCTTTTGTGTGATAACACTTTCAGAATTTACCTAAGTGGTTTTATTTAGTGAATACAGTGACCAGTCTTGGCCCCAGTATTCACCCTCTTCTACCTGCAGCCGGCTTCTGGTGACCCTGTTCTAATCTCTAATCTTAGGTTTTCTGGTATAGGAATCAAAAAGCAAATTCTGAAGTCTTGCTTTTAACTTATCTTTCTTTCACAAAGGACAAGAGTTTATTTCTTTATTTTCAAACAAGATTATATTTGGTCATATACATATATATGCATACGCACACATTATTTTCCTTTTTCCCTTGTCTGCCGATGTACAAATAGGCTGGCTTGCTGTCTTGGCTACCCTGAGCAATGCTGCAGCATACATGGGGGTGTGGATGTCTGCTCAATATACTGGTGTCATATCTTCCGGATGTGTACCAGTGGAAGGACCACAGCCAGGTGACTTTTGACAAAGCTGCCAAGCACACACATTTGGGAATTTGGGAAAATGACACTCTTGTATGAATGGTGTGGTAAAACTTGATGGAAGACTAGAGCTCATCTGAACTCATTTCTTATTACAGACAGAAACCAAACAAAATGCATTAGAGATTTCAATACAAAACCCAAACTACAGAACTATGAGAACTGTGGCCTTGGCAAAGATATGTTTCGGATATGAAAACATAAAGCTCCTGCACACAAAGGACATAACACAGTGGAGACAACATACAGGAGGAAAAAACAGCATTTGCAAGGTGAGCATTTCACAAATGATACATGTCCAGATTATAAAAGAATTAAAAAAAATAGCAAATGAGTAAGTAAATGAATAAATGGTATTATAAAGAATGAGCAAATAACTACATAAGACTTTCTCAAAAGGGGACAGTCAAAATAGCCACTTGATGTATAGAGAGGAGAAAATGTTTCAATGACACTAATCATCAATGATGTGCAATAAGCAATCAGTTCACAAGGTAGAATACATTTAATCAAAAATACAGAAGTTAACAAATGCTGATAAGAACATGAACAAAGGAGAGCTACCTCATATGCACTGTTCACTGTTAGCAGAAATGGGGAACAAGTGTCTTTTGATAAGAACTAAGTATTTTGAAATTGCTATGCAGAACGCACAAGAACACCACATTCTTTTCTTATTATTCTTTTGTCTAGGGGTGTGTGTGTGTGTGTGTGTGTGTGTGTGTGTGTGTGTGTGTGTGTGTGTGTGTGCATGTGTATGTGTGTGTGTTTGTATTGTTACTGGGTCTTGAACTCAGGCCTGGATAATCTCACAGTTTTGTTTTTTTGTTTTTTGTTCAAAACTAGAGTTTTACTGCTTAAGCCACAGTTCCAGTTCTAGCTTTTTGTTAATTCATTGGAGATAACAGTCTGTCTAGCCCGGTTTCAAATTCTGTTTCTCAAATCTCAGCCACCTGTGCAGCTAGGATTATAGATGTGAACCTCTGGAGCGTAGCGTCCACATTTAGTACTATATATCTCTACATCTATATGTGTATCCTGATCAAAATCATCCACTCCATCTCTCTGTCTCTGTCTCTGTCTCTCTGTCTGTCTGTCTCTCTCTCTAATTCACTCCTGTTCTTGAAACAATTTGAACACTTTCCATGGTTTTGTTTTCATAATATAAATTCAGGACTTAGTCAATTTTTATCTCTCCTTAGTCCCTATCCCTTCTCACCTACCTCCTCTAGCAATAGAGTTTATTTAAGTTTTTAATGACTCCTTTAGCAGTAGAGCCTATTTAAGTTTTTAATGATTTTTTTGTATTTAGTCCAAATGAATTGTGCAAATAATATCAACGTGGTACTTCATATGTGACTATGTTGTAATTTAGTGTGATTAACCTCATCTATTGTTCTCATTCACCGTTCTGGTTCAGTAGCTTTCTTTATTTTATCTTCATATCATGTATTCTAATATTATACATCCTCCATTATTTCCCCCCCTTCCTCTACCCTGACCCTAAACAGTGACAGATTTAACAATGTCAAAGTTTCTGTGATGAGATAATACAAATGACTTAGCTGCCAGCCTGCCTTTCACTTTGAGCCTGTTGAACTATGTGTTGATGTGGGTCTCTTTGATAGTTAAACTTCTGGGGAAATGTAGTTAAATATCATCATCTCTAATTATACTACTGATTTTCTACCTTGCTGATTCAATTCCACAGTTTCATTCTTGGTAAGATCAGGGAATAGTCATTTTTCATCAAAGAGCTCAGATGCTTTATTTTCCTCTAAGGAACAACATGCTAGTCAGTGTGAGCTGCTAGGAAAGAATACTCTGAGCTTTGTGAATGAAACAGCAAACATTATTTTCTCATAGTTGTGGAGGCTGAGAAGTCCAAGGTCAATGTGGTTCCTAATCTGGAGTCCAGTGGGAACAACTTCCTTTTTGCCAATCACTGGCTTCTTGCTCTGTCCTCGCACTGGAGAGCAATACTTTCTCTAGATCCTAAAAAGGCATGAATCCCATTAATCTCATTTATGATAACCCTAGTCTCCATAACTCAGTATCTGGTGACTCCAGCCCTGAATATGATTAGCCTAGTGAGGCTAATCATTTGGAGAATCTCACATTTTCAATCCATCATAGTTAAAAAGAACTACAGGTCTGACAAGCAGAGTGACCAATCTACTGATGATTATTTTTCTTTTCTCTTCCTGATGGGTCTTGGAAATGCAGCTATCTTTGTATCTGAAGGTTGCATGGAAGGAAAAGCCATTTGTTTTCCAGACTAAGTATTAAAAGAATCTAGAGCTCAGACAGCTTATAGAATCATGTTGACATGGATAACATGTCATTTATCTATAAGGCTTTCAAAGAAGACATTAAAAGTTAAAAAAATAATCCTTTGATGATGATGTACTTAAAGAGATATTCAAACCCATTGCCACAAGTTTTTACTCTGAATGCTTTCCTTTTTCTAAGCCCTTCACCCCAGCATTGCTCCAAGACTAAATTATATCTACCACATCTGATGACAAGACTCCTTGATGTCAGAGCTCAGAATGTTTGTATCTTTTTAAGACCACATCCATGCTATCCTGAAGGAATCTATGATACTCCATTTTGGGTTGAGCTAAGCCATATATCTGAATAAACAACTCTTGAACCATACAAGAAATATCAAAATCTCAAATTCTCCTGACAAAAAGTTATACATTCTACATTTATATGCTTTTAAAGAATTGATTGATTTTTGCAGTCACTTTCTTCTGCAGTATTCTATTAAAAATGAATTCTCAAAATGATTCCCATGTATCACATTTGAGGAACTGCATAACCCAAGGTTGGAACAACCAAAGCTTCTCCCCTCTTCTTGATCTGCCTCTATTTTAACCTAATACATGAGCGTCTGTCTTTGGTTAATTTATCAATTATTCCCATAAGAATTTAAATAATCTGTTTAGGAAATAAATATGTTGGCTTCCTGTCTGGAATAGCCTCCTAGACTTGAGAGCTTGACAAACAGAATCTGAGGTCTTGGAATCATCACCACTGGTTTATAAAAATGTCTGTCATGTTTATGATGTCATCCTGCTGTACCCAATAAATGTGATAATGACCAAGTTTCTCCTCATTGGAAATGATTTTTCTAGACCTTAAAATTAAAAACCAAGATATGTTTATTCTTCTGGGGATGCTCAGCATATCATTTTCCATATTACATGGGATTTATAAACATTCATTCCTATTTATTATGAGAGAATTTACTATCAGAGGATTGTACAGCATAGTGATTCTCATTGAGATTTTTCCAGAAGATTGTGGCCATATCTACTTTCGTCTGATGCTATTATCAATCTGTGCTTCTGGAATGAGAAACATCATTTTTTCCCATTTTTTAGCAAGTCTCTTGGAAATTTATATGGTATAGGTCTTAACACTAATGTACCTCGTGTGAAGGTGTAGACACATGGCTTTTATGTGGATGTGTGACTTTATGTTGATGGTCATCTAATATATTTAACTATACCCAGTCAGGGTTAATCCTTCTGAGATGTTGGTGTGCCAACATTGGCAGATGGAGGAAAAGAGATCCATCTGGAGCCACAAAGTACTGAGAGGTTGGGACAGAAATTTAGAAGCCTATGAATTTGTGCAAATGGAAATATTTTAACATTCTCAGGAAGAGAATGAATTTTTAGTATAGAAAAACTGGAAGGAAATTGAATTCATTTATTTTTATTTTATATACCTGGATGGTATATAAATTATAACATGTGATTATTTTTATTATAATAATGGATATATATGTACATATATATCTACATATATATAGAAATTAGGTTTGTAATACCATAAGGGGACAAACA